CACTAACTTTGTTGAGGCGACACCAAAAAGCTTCACAGCAAGTGTCTGTCTGCGACCGCGATCTCGCCTAGAGGAAGCCACGACCACGTGTCAGAGCAGGGAAGGTGGCCGCGGGTTGTGTTCGTCACCCGATGCGGAGTTCGCGAACGGAAGCAAAATTTGCGAACGCTGCTGTTTGTTCGTGAACAGAAGCGTTTGTGAATCGAGGTATTACTGTACCATATGGTCTATGCTGGGTTTGGCGAGCCCTGAGTTGCACAAACCCAACTTTAAGCACTGGATGTAACAACTGTTTTGTCCTCACCTGTGGCATATGACGATCTGATGTGTGCCGATATGGGTTTATGCAAGGGTTTCATGAACAGAGCACTTGCATGACCTGGGATCTGCATCTCCAATGCTGAGGAATCATCCTTAATTTATTACACAGCCTTGTATAGAAGAAAACCAGCTTTTACCAAGGTCCCTTTTTAGCAGGGCATATAGAAGACTTTGGAATCTGTTACAGTAAGTCTAGAACACTGGAAACCCGCTGGATCCACAGAACTGTTGACTGGGGATGAATGTGCTGAAATCCTGTTTCCCCTTCCTCCACACAGCTCAGCCAGACCCCTGGCCTGGACAGTCCCATCTTCCTGCCCACAGACCGTAAATGGGACTGGACTTTAGCCAAGATCTGGGTGAGAATGGCCAACTTTCACGTCCATGAGGTCAACACCCACCTTCTTGAAGCCCATTTTCACTGTGAAGTCTACACCATGGCCACCCTCCGGCAACTACCTACATGTCATCCTATTTACAAGGTAAATGTCTTGAGAATGGGTGTCCCAGTACATGGTTGGACTTGTGCACATGTTAGTGGTTCCCAGAGCTAATCTTGAGGGAGCTACAGATTTGTTTTGATGCTGTGTTGAAAGAGCTAAATTCTTTGTTTTGCTTCTTAAGACGTTGTTGTTGCCTTCAAAACCAACCTAGAAAGATGACCATGGAGATTTGGAAAAGCCAGGGACTGTGGGATCACCCAACTTAGTTGGCCCTAAAAAGGCCTTTGTGGTCTAGCCCAGTGTTTTTCAAACATGGTCACTTTAAGATGGGTGGACTTCAGCTCCCAGAATTCTTCAGGCCCCCGTCGGCGGGGGAACCCTGCGGTTTGATGAGCACCCCCCTTTATTTACT